CTCCCACTAACGAACAAATTTCGCCAGACACACTAATTCCCTTGCAGAAGACAAAGAAGAAAGAAACAAACCGATAATTTCTTCGTCTCCACTTTCTCTATCTAGAACGGAAAGTCGTCGCCTTGCCGTATCGTCGTCTTCTTCTTCCTGACTTTCTCTCTCTAAACTTTGCTTCCTTTCAGCCAAAAGTCCATGCTGCTGAATGCGAAAACTAGAGATTTTTTCCCCTAGATTTCACCACTTTTTCTTTATTTATTTGTCTTTCTAAGCTCGAGTTCCTTTTACACCGTACTCCTATAGTCCTATCCCATTTTCTTAGCTCGTTTATCCAGTGTGTACGCTTTGTCCGGGCTTAAAGTGACATCATTGAGTTTCAATTTCTTATTTTATACTCGCCCGTATGCTTTTATTTATCTCGTTTATCCTTTTATTTACTAATTATTACTCCGTATAATTAGGATGTTTTCTTTTGGATTGAAATTTGCTGGTCTGGTCTGTTTAATCTGGTCTGGTCTGATCTGGTCTGAACTGGTCTGGTAAACGTCTGGTCTCTGTGTATTTTATAACTACGGAAGTCCGGTCTGGTCTGTTTAAGTCTGGTCTGGTCTGATCTGGTCTGTTTAAGTTTGGTCTGGTCTGGTCTGGGACTGAAAACAGTCCAAAAGAAAACATCCTTAGTGTAGACTTTATAAAAAAACGTGTTTGTACTGTAATTGTTTATTAGGTGAGTTTCTTTTCATAAAAGAGAATGATACAATTAATTGGATATATTCCAAAAAGAAAAGTAAAACCATAAACTGATATAGAGGAAGTATTTGTACTCCCTACAAATTTTATTGACATGAGAATTAATAATGCAAAAAAAACTAAAAATTATGTTATGGAGCTTTGTGCAAATGAATGAAAAATATCAAGAAACACAATTTAATTTATTAAATGAAATAATAGTAAAGTTTTTTTAACAATAAAAAAATGAAAAATATCAAATAATAATATAAGTCGATGTATGACCTACACTACCTCTATCGTGGAATTATGTTTATTCTTTCTATTTTGGCTCGTTCCAAAATTATCTTCATGTTTCTTGGAAAAATTTACCGCATAAGTTTACTCCAATACCTTCATAATTACTTCACTTCTAACCATATTTATTACTCTATTGAACCTTCAATTATCGTGTTATACTTGACCGCTCTCGTCCGCTCGTATTCCTCTCTATGTTCTTGATCCTTTGGCGTGTACCCTCTTTACCTTCATCTTCAGATCTTTGCACCCTTGTCTAGCAAAGTCATCCAATCTGCACCCTCATCTCAATCTCTATATTCACTAATGGCAGAAGAGTAATCAGTTTATTCATGCATTTTGACTTGTATGATGCAGTGATTGAGGACTCAAACCCTAACGGTTCCTCATAACCCGGATCGAAATGTTCAACAATCCATTGAAAAAATGATTTCAATATGGCCACGTCTTTACAAAAAGCAAAGCTCATATATCTCTACTTCTTGTTTCTAATGTTCTTGTGTGGATGCATGGGCGGATCTAAAGGGGGACGGGGGGCTGGTTCCCCTGCTTCAGCCGTACAAGATAGATATAGGAATGAACATGGGTGCACTACTAGATTTTTTCTTATTTGCTGCTCCTCATTTGCTGCGGTCCAACACAAAACCGCAACAATTAATGAATTTCTTTAAACATTTGCTGCGGTCATGAAGAAACCGCAACAAATAAGTATATATTTTAGAGTTATTGATGCGCTCATGGTAGAACCGCCGCAAATAAGAGTTCGATTTCATTTTTTTTGCTAAGTTCTAGCTGCGGTCAATTTGGGAACGCAACAATACGTCCTGATATATTAATATTTGATGCGGGCGCTAATAACCGTAGCAACTATTATGCCTTAGCAGTTAGTACTTAGGGTTTTTTCTAAACTTCAAAGGAATTTCACAAGCCTCAGTCCGCCCAAGTCATCGCGGCCCTCCTAGCAGCACACCGCCGTCGACCCCTCCTAGTAGCACACCGCCTTCTCCACCCTCAGCAACACACCGCCGACACCACCCTCCCAGCAGCATACCGTCGTAGCCTGCCGCCCTACAGCAATCCGCCATCGCCGCTCCTCTGAGTCTCGGGAACAGGCTACAAACGCTGCTTGACGTGGAGTAACCTCTTCACTTATTAGAGGTTTATTCCTCAGTCTTTTACAATTTCAAGTAGTTTGCTTTAATTGTTTATCATTTTACGAAAATTTAATATTTGTTTGAATTTATGAAATAAGTACTGATGTTTATGTTTGTATAAAGTTGATTTGTACCTATTTTTGAAGTTATTACGTGTGAAGTTATAATTTTTGTAATTCCTACATGAAGTGCATAGTATTCAGGATCAATAAATTCATCAAATTGCAAAGTCCAATTCAGATTTGAGGACCGAGGAACTTATGAACCAAATTCATTTCATTGCTTTTTCTCTGTCTCATACATATGTAGATTTATACATTTTGCCAAGCACGGGTTCTGTTATGTACCAGCTCTTATTTTCATTATTTTGAAGAGATAATTTGTGATGCACTTGCAGAGCTAAGAGGAACATTCAACAAGGCAAACGTTGATCTAGAAGTCAAACACACTTTTTTCCCTTTTTGAAGTGTCTTCATTAACTCACTGTAAAAGGTTTGCAGCTTTACTGGATCTTTTCAGTTTGTGAATCTCACAAGTTTCTTTATAATGTTTTGGAGTTAGGAACTTTATATTGAAAAGATTCTAATAATAGCTAAAGAAAGTGTGATATATAATTTCGATACTAAATCCAAAAATTCAGTTTATCAGAGAAAATTAGTTTGTCCTGCAACTAAGATGACACTAAATTTAAATTTAGCCTGTGAGTTTTGCTTGTGTCTATCTTAATTGATTCTTAATTGATTTATGGCAATGCATGCTAATGCTTCTTTGTTATCCTGTTGATGTGAGTTTTCTCGCACTTAAAAAGATTGTAGAATAGTGGTGTAAGTACGAGTATCGTCTCCACAGGGACGGACAAAAGGGAATTAAGAATTAACTAAATTCAGCAATTAAAAAGAAAATAAAATAAAAATGCGTCGTGCGAGATTGATTGGTGAATTAAAATTAAACTAATGCAGATGAACGATTAAAATAAAAGTGGTTTCTTCTCAATTAACGACGAAGGGAACAGGAATTGATTCCGGGGTTAACCAGATTTCTGGCAGATCAGGCCTAATTACATGAATTTAATTTAATTGAGCCTAGCTAATCATTACTAAGTTCTTACCGCTCTCGCGGCGTAGAGTACAATAATTTAGGGGACCAGACTCATCTCTCACGCGACAAGATCCTAAATTATTGCCAAGACGAACGAGCTTACGGCCCCTTAATCGCTACTAATCTCTTAGCGAACGATTAAGTGTGTGTGAATGTGTCCTAGAACAAATTAGATCTCTCTTAATTCATTCTACATGCAATTGTAATTCTAGTGGCCATCTAGGTTACAAGAGATATCAATTAAATTATTCATACACAAATTAAACGGCATTCATGCAATTAAACCGAAAAGAATCTAGCCATTAATCATGATTAACCCCTTCATCAACCTCAAATCCCTAATTAAACTACTCACAATTCATAATTGAAGAATCAACAGAATTGGGAAGAATAGAATAAATTGTCATTAATTAAAAAGATAAACTTACAAATAATCCCAGGGTCTTGGAAGAAAATAGCGTAAAAACGGTGTTAAATTCGTCCCTAGGCCTCTCCGTAATGTTCGTAACCCCTCAAAAGGGTTAGGGAGGCCTTATTTATAGAAAAAAGGGAAAAAAAACCGAGTTTGGGCCGAAAAAGGATTTTTCCGCGCGTGTCACGGGGCTACGCACGATCGTGCGTCCCTGCCTACGCACGATCGTGCGTAGCAGGCAGAGGCTTCATCGCGGTTTCGTAATGGACGCACGATCGTGCGTCCCAGACGCACGACCGTGCGTCTGACTTTTTCGCTCCGTTTTCTCGTTTTCTTGCTCCAAACGTGCCCGGATTCAAACGAGGTCGATCCCAATGCTCTTTCTTCATCAAAATTTCGCCGTGAATCACCTGGTGACCTCCAAATCTCTCAATTCTTCCTTGAATGCTCTCTATGTGACACCGCACCCGAATGTCCTTGGAGATTTGATTTAAATATTCAAAGTTTATGTATTGGATTTCCGGTTCCCAAACAATTGTAAAACGATTTATGTTTTACGTAATTAATGATCGAATATTGTACTCTTCGAACTCGTATATTAGTGTCGGACACACGGATACTATTTGGGACTTATTAATAGATAAAGGGGCCCAACATTTTCTAAATAGTAATATTTGACCTTTCAAGACAAATTGAGGAAGGTCGGGCGGCCCAAACGTTATTTTGGGCCCAACCTGCTAAAAATAGCAAGTATTCAAGAATGGCGTTCTAAACCCACTCGGGAGTGACCCACACGGCTAGTAGCCCAATAATACGTATGACAAATGTCAAATAAGTGATTGAATGATTAAGGAAGAATACAAATGCCTATAACCCCACCTTGGGCCTTATTGAGCTAAATAATGGGAGTAAGATTTTCCTTCTATAATATTCATCAAGTAAATTATTGTGATGAACCTACACATATTGGAGATCAATAATGTGATGGAGGAAGTTGACTTGTTCTAAATAAATTAGGATGAGTACAAAAAGACATCTTTGACAAAAGATAAAACTATAGGACCCATCTTCCCATTTTTTGGAAGTATTGGTAGATATTTTGGACCCCAAATTTAATGGGATCAATTGGGAACCACTCCACATTATATTAGTACCTGCAAAACAAATAAAAATGGGTTAGAAGACCTACCTTGGCCGGCCATAATGGAGGGGAGCTGCACATGACTTGATAGGAATCAAAGCTTGGGCCACCATCCTTATTTTCGCACAAATTGGTGTGCTGTTTGTCTCCTCTCATTATAGAAGCTATACTCGACCAAACAACGTGAATAATATGTCCTTGGATAGCCTTTGAAGTCTAGTATCTCAATTGAGTGGTCTGTGTTCGAGGAGAGAAAGCTTATCTTACAAAAATCGAGCTGGAGTGAGTGGTGGTGTGTGAACTCGAGCTGTGAGAGTGCTGAGACTGTTTGGTTTATATCTCGAGTTATACCAATCCAATTAAGGCGTGTGAGATACCAAAAGAAAGCTCTCAAGACGAGGAATCCGTGAAGGTCTGGTTTGCATCAATCGGAGTAGAGTAAGGCTTCCAAATCGTCCGATCAGAACGCGACCTCGCAGGAACGGATTTACTCTTCTAAGTGAGTTGTTAATCCCAAAACCTTTCCTTTCATTTTCCAAATGATATGAACGATTGGTGGAACTATTGTACACTAATACAAGTGTATAATATGTCCTTGTGAAGTTATTTTATTGATGTAAAGGTTAGATACTAACCTAGATGCAAATATTGGAAAACTAGGAAACGAATTCGTCGGGAAACACCCGTTCTAGGGACTGTTTTTGCGTCTTCGGGTAGGAGTTGAACTAGCACTTTGAGGGGGCTGTTTAACACTCAATTCCAAGCAAGGAATCAGTTCTAAAACCTTCTTGGCCGAGGCTTTGGTCGTTGGAGCAAGAAGGAAGGTTTTAAAGCTCATTTGAGGTGAGGACCGACATCTAGTTGCTTACAACTTGTAGGTTATGCATGAGATTACCTAAATGCTTGATTCATGTTTTTGTGAATAAATATGCTTGAACATGATATGAATGATAAGTAATGGACTTGACCATGAATTGAAACCATATTGATGAATATGGAGTCATGTGAGATAAAAGTATGCTAATATGGTAAATTGACCTTCCAACTCATGTATGAATGTTATGTGTATGTAAATGTATAATTGCATGATGATGCTTAGCACATGGGAGGCTGCCACATATCTATTGATATGGAGGGGCTACCATTTATGATAAATGAGTTGTAGGAATAATCTTAATAGTATTGTGATGCTAGTTAAGGATTGTTCAAAATGTTGATAGAATCAAATTTAAGGTTTGAGTTGTTTGTGATGAACTTGAATAAGATTCAAGTGTCAAGTGTGATTGTATGAAGTAGGAGATCTATGGTGTGATTATATGAAGTAGGAGATCTATGGTGTGATTATATGAAGTAGGAGATCTATGGTGTGATTATATGAAGTAGGAGATCTATGGTGGGATTGTATGAAGTAGGAGATCTATGGGGTGAATACATGAAGTAGGAGATCTATGGTATGATTATATGAAGTAGGAGATCTATGATGCGAGTGCATGATGATGTACTCGAGCCTAACTCTAGAAATGAGAAGTTATATTAGGGTTGGACCCTATGTATTGTCGTGACTATTAGTCACGGGGTTTGGGAAATGTTTTATAACAAACACGGGCCTTTGAGCCAACTACTTGATTTTATATAAAGTAAGTATGTATTTTGAAAGGGGTAATCTAGGATTACGGCCTATACTATATTATCACCCTATTTGAGGGTCTTGTGTGTGAAATACTTGTTGTATATCTATTAGATGCCTGCCACACCAGCACTTTATAGCCCTATAGAGTGCTGACCCCTTCGGGGGCGTCCCACCACCATTTTTCAGGTTGAGGCTAGAGCTTGCTTCCTGTGCTCGTTGCTCGAGAGATCATATAGGAGGGAAGACTTGGTTCGTGCTTCCTCCATTCTGTTTTTAAACCTTTCTAAACATGCTCATGGATATTTTACTATGGAGCCTGCGTGCTCATGAAATGCCTTGTGTGGCCCTTTTGTTTTAAACAATGTTTCCGCTGCGTTATGAATTACTTATTATGTTTGTTTATGGATGTACATGTGTGAATGATATTCAAGACGCCTTGTATAATATGAATGTGTTGGACTGCGGTTGACTATTCGTATTGTACGGCGGGTTGTTGACGTGCCCGGATAGGTCCGGGGCGTGACAATTAAGTTGGTATCAGAGCCTTAGTCCATAAACTTCATAATGAAGTCTCAAAATTCTCTTTTCAAAATGATTTTTGAAAACCATGAGCGAAAATGTTTTGTACTTAAGAACTTTTGGTGTTTGAGTTGCAAGATCTCTAATTGTTAAGATGGCGCCCTTAACGATTGGTATGGCAGTGACTTGGCCCAAGAGATGTCTTAAGTGCCTATCTGTCACTTGACATTTGAAACGAGTCTAATGACTCATTCTAATTATTTCTTTCAGTGATGGAGGGTGATGGTGGTATTATGAATAGGGAGAACTCGGAAGGGTTTGCACCGGGTGGAACCGAGCATGCCAACCGAGAAAAGCCCTTAGGACCAAAGGTGCACGAAATTCTTGAAGCTCAAATCATGAGTGGTGGTCATGTTAAGACCAAGGAAGAATCACCTTGTTATGGCAAAACTGAACCACTCAAGGCTTCGGGTGACAAAGGAGATGATTTGAGTGATGAGGACCTTGATGGTGCACCCATTGAACAAATGGGCATGGTCATAGATTGGCTTCAACGTGAACGTGTGAGGCTTATACGAAAACGCCAAGCTAGGCAAGCTAAGGGCATACCATTAGTAAGGAAAAGGAAGTGGGGAGACAACGATTCACAAAGACATTCAAGGAGGACAAACGTTGAGGGTGACAAAACCTTCATGGCGCAGACACTATCACTTGAGTGGAGTCGAGGCTCGGGTGGCCAGAACTCGAGGTCAAAAGGTTCGAGAGTACCTAAGTGCACAAATTGTAAGAAGCACCACCCGGGTAAGTGTTGGGAACCTCCTAGGTGCTACCGATGCAGAGAGATCGGGCACACGAATGCGAATTGCCCACAACTTGTACCCGACCAAACTTTGGGCTCAAGTAGTACGACTATAGGCATACAGAGTCAAGCCGGGGCCTCTCAAGCAAGCAAGGAACATGGCGGAGCAAGTGTGAGCAACGCGCCGTCCGTGAATCAAGGGAGGACTCACGCTAGAGTCTATACGATGACGGAGGCGGAGGCTCGAGCGAACCCGGATTCCGTTGCAGGTATAACCTCTTGTATACTTGTGTTTTACCCTTGATTAGTCCATAAATTGAGGTTGCTAATCGTTGGGATCATTGTACGAAGTTTTGGGGTCAAACGGAGCGAAATCGGGCGAAAGACGGCTGATTTCCGCCAACGCACACCAGGCGGGACCATACGCACGGCCGTGCGTTGTCCGTGCGTTGGTCCGTGCGTTGGTGGCAGTAGCCACCGGGAATAAATTGCTATACGCACGGCCGTGCGTTGTCCGTGCGTTGGTCCGTGCGTTGGTGGCAGTAGCAACCGGGAAGAAATTGCTATACGCACGGACGTGCGTTGTCCGTGCGTTGGTCCGTGCGTTGGTGGCAGTAGCTCCGTTTTGAGGTTATAAGACACGCACGCCGTGCGTACCTCCTAGGCACGCCGTGCGTACCTCCTGGGCAGCCCAAAGTCGACTTTTTCGCGCCGTATTGCAACGTTAAGACCCGTTCTTGATCCCAAACACGTGTGTGAACATAATAAACCTCTCTAAATGTATAAGAATGGTAGGAAAGGTATCTCACATGACTTATAAATGTAGGAACACTAAAGATTAATGGGAAGGATGCGCGAATCCTTATCGATACCGGGGCGCAACATTCATTTGTGAATGAAGCGTTCGCCAAGAGGTTGGGAGTGCAATCCGCACCATTGATGCAAACCTTAGTGGTATCAACACCACTAGGGGATGACGTGGAAAGAACTTGTTACTATCCATCTTGTGGGGTGGAGGTTAATGGTCAAACCTTGACGTGTGACTTCGTACCGCTGAGCATGATTGAATTCGATGCAATCCTAGGGATGGATTGGCTAGAAAGGAACCATGCTAGGGTAGATTGCTACACGAAGGTTCTTGAACTCGAAGGCAATGATGGGGAGACCCTACGCTTCGAGGGCGATCGAGGGAGATCAAATAGCTGTATCATATCCGCCGTGAGAGCGAGAAGTATGATGAGAAAGGGATGCCACGCATATCTAGCATACGTGGTTGACAAAACCAAAGAAGAAACGAACATCGATGATGTGAGGGTGGTTTGTAAGTATCCGGATGTCTTCCCTAAAGACCTACCGGGGCTTCCACCTGATAGGGAGATTGAATTTGTGATCGAGGTCGAGCCTGGTACCAAACCAATCTCCATACCGCCATACCGTATGGCACCCGCTGAACTTAACGAGTTGAAAACCCAATTGCAAGAGCTTTTGGATAATGGTTTCATTAGACCAAGCCACTCCCCGTGGGGAGCACCAGTTCTTTTTGTGAAAAAGAAAGATGGGACACTTCGAATGTGTATTGACTATCGTCAACTGAACAAGGTCACAATCAAGAATAGGTATCCCTTGCCTAGGATTGATGACTTGTTTGATCAACTACGAGTGGCGACTGTGTTTTCAAAGATTGACTTGAGGTCGGGTTACCATCAACCGAAGATTAAGGAAGATGACATACCAAAAAGTGCTTTTCGCACAAGGTATGAGCACTTTGAATTCCTTGTTATGTCGTTTGGGTTAACAAACGCCCCAGCGGCATTCATGGACTTGGTGAACCGAGTATTTCATAAATACTTGGACCGATTTGTGATTGTGTTCATATATGACATCTTAATTTACTCAAGGAGTGAAGAAGAACATGAGCGGCACTTGGTCCTGGATCTTGAAACATTACGAGAGAAGCAATTTTGCGCCAAGTTCTCTAAGTGCGAGTTTTGGCTTAAAGAGATTGGCTTTCTTGGGCATGTAGTTTCTGAGTCAGGCATTGCCGTGGATAACAAGAAGATTGGGGCTATCACATAATGGGAAAGGCCTAAGAACGTGAAGGAGATTCGTAGTTTCCTCGGGCTAGCAGGTTACTACAGATAATTCGTGGAGAAGTTCTCAGTTTTAGCATCGCCATTGACAAAGCTCACTCGAAAGGGAACTAAGTTTATATGGGATGACAAATGTGAGAAAGGATTCATCGAACTGAAGAAGAGATTGACCGAGGCACCGGTACTTGCATTACCCAAACAGGGTGTGGGGTACGATGTCTATAGTGACGCGAGCATCCAAGGGTTTGGGTGTGTGTCGATGCAGAAGGGGAGGGTAATTGCCTATGCTTCACGACAGTTGAAGAAGCATGAGGTAAATTATCCTGCCCATGATCTGGAGCTGGGAGCAGTAGTGTTTGCACTGAAGATTTGGAGACATTATCTCTACGGAGAGACATGCCACATATATACGGATCATAAGAGCTTCAAGTGCGTGTTTACTCAGAGAGAGTTAAACATGAGACAGGGACGGTGGATGGAGTTGATAAAGGACTACCATCTAGTTATTGAGTACCATCCAGGTAAGGCAAACGTTGTAGCAGATGCCCTCAGTCGGAAGAGTTCGTCTGGGGCATTGTTGACAAGTTTGAGGGCACTGAGGGCCCAATTGGATGTATCTAGCGACGGTGTCTTATCGGCACGATTCGAGGTGAGACCGACCTTACTTGATGAAATCAAGAAGGGTCAAGAGACTGACGCAGAACTTATGAAGGTCCGGGAACGCATGCAGGCGGGACCGGTGGAGGATTTCAGGGAAAGAGATGATGGTCTCTTGTTATTTCGTGACCGAGTGTGTGTACCGTCAGATGATGAGCTCCGAAAGTCCATCTTAGAGGAGGCTCATTCATCGGCTTATGTCATGCACCCGGGGGGCACGAAAATGTATCGTGATTTGAAAGAAAGTTACTGGTGGTCTGGTATGAAGAGGGAAATAGCTGAATACATTAGTCGATGCCTTACTTGTCAGCAAGTTAAGGCAGAACATCAGCATCCAGCAGGCTTGTTACAACCACTTTCCATTCCTGAATGGAAGTGGGAACATGTGACTATGGATTTCGTGGTAGGTTTACTACGGACAATTCGGAACTATGATGCAATTTGGGTTGTTGTGGATAGGCTCACAAAGAGTGCACACTTCTTGCCTATCAACACCACCTACCCACTTGAGAGGTTAGCCAAATTGTATACGGATGAGATCGTGAGGCTGCATGGGGTCCCAGTGACCATTGTATCCGATAGAGACCCACGATTCACATCACGTTTTTGGCCGAAATTTCAAGAGTCTATGGGAACGAGATTGAAGTTCAGTACTGCATTCCATCCACAGACGGATGGGCAGTCTGAAAGGGTTATACAGATCTTAGAGGATATGCTGAGGGCTTGTGCGTTAGAGTTCCAAGGAAGTTGGGACAACCACTTAGCACTTGTGGAGTTCGCCTATAACAACAGTTATCAGGCAAGCATCGGCATGCCTCCACACGAGGCATTGTATGGGAGGAGGTGTCGTACACCGTTATGTTGGGACGAGGTCGGCATGGCCAAACTCGAAGGTACTGAGTTGGTTGAGGTCACCAAATCAAAGGTGAAATTGATTCGAGAGAGACTCAAGGCGGCTCAGGATAGACAAAAGAGTTATGCAGATAAGCATCGGAGAACCTTAGAGTTTAAGGTTGATGACGAGGTATTCTTGAAGGTTTCTCCTTGGAAAGGAATCATACGATTCCAAACCCGAGGAAAGCTTAATCCACGATACATAGGTCCATTCAGAATTATAGAGGATTGGGGCCGTAGCATATCGTCTGCAGTTAACTCCTGAATTAGAGAAGATACATAATGTATTTCATGTATCCATGCTTAAGAAGTATGTGCATGATCCCTCCCACGTATTGGAGAAACCACCTGTAGAGGTACGTGAGGATTTGAACTACGCTGTGCAACCAATCAAGGTCACCGATAGGAAGGTGAAGAAACTGAGGAGCAAAGAAGTCCCAATGGTTAAAGTACTTTGGAAGAGCGATCGGGTCGAAGAAGAGACGTGGGAAACAGAGGCTTTGATGAGGAAGCAGTATGCTTTCCTATTCGAGTAAAACTGTGAATTTCGGGGACGAAATTCCTGTTAAGGGGGGGTGAACTTGTGACACCGCACCCGAATGTCCTTGGAGATTTGATTTAAATATTCAAAGTTTATGTATTGGATTTCCGGTTCCCAAACAATTGTAAAACGATTTATGTTTTACGTAATTAATGATCGAATATTGTACTCTTCGAACTCGTATATTAGTGTCGGACACACGGATACTATTTGGGACTTATTAATAGATAAAGGGGCCCAACATTTTCTAAATAGTAATATTTGACCTTTCAAGACAAATTGAGGAAGGTCGGGCGGCCCAAACGTTATTTTGGGCCCAACCTGCTAAAAATAGCAAGTATTCAAGAATGGCGTTCTAAACCCACTCGGGAGTGACCCACACGGCTAGTAGCCCAATAATACGTATGACAAATGTCAAATAAGTGATTGAATGATTAAGGAAGAATACAAATGCCTATAACCCCACCTTGGGCCTTATTGAGCTAAATAATGGGAGTAGGATTTTCCTTCTATAATATTCATCAAGTAAATTATTGTGATGAACCTACACATATTGGAGATCAATAATGTGATGGAGGAAGTTGACTTGTTCTAAATAAATTAGGATGAGTACAAAAAGACATCTTTGACAAAAGATAAAACTATAGGACCCATCTTCCCATTTTTTGGAAGTATTGGTAGATATTTTGGACCCCAAATTTAATGGGATCAATTGGGAACCACTCCACATTATATTAGTACCTTCAAAACAAATAAAAATGGGTTATAAGACCTACCTTGGCCGGCCATAATGGAGGGGAGCTGCACATGACTTGATAGGAATCAAAGCTTGGGCCACCATCCTTATTTTCGCACAAATTGGTGTGCTGTTTGTCTCCTCTCATTATAGAAGCTATACTCGACCAAACAACGTGAATAATATGTCCTTGGATAGCCTTTGAAGTCTAGTATCTCAATTGAGTGGTCTGTGTTCGAGGAGAGAAAGCTTATCTTACAAAAATCGAGCTGGAGTGAGTGGTGGTCTGTGAACTCGAGCTGTGAGAGTGCTGAGACTGTTTGGTTTATATCTCGAGTTATACCAATCCAATTAAGGCGTGTGAGATACCAAAAGAAAGCTCTCAAGACGAGGAATCCGTGAAGGTCTGGTTTGCATCAATCGGAGTAGAGGAAGGCTTCCAAATCGTCCGATCAGAACGCGACCTCGCAGGAACGGATTTACTCTTCTAAGTGAGTTGTTAATCCCAAAACCTTTCCTTTCATTTTCCAAATGATATGAACGATTGGTGGAACTATTGTACACTAATACAAGTGTATAATATGTCCTTGTGAAGTTATTTTATTGATGTAAAGGTTAGATACTAACCTAGATGCAAATATTGGAAAACTAGGAAACGAATTCGTCGGGAAACACCCGTTCTAGGGACTGTTTTTGCGTCTTCGGGTAGGAGTTGAACTAGCACTTTGAGGGGGCTGTTTAACACTCAATTCCAAGCAAGGAATCAGTTCTAAAACCTTCTTGGCCGAGGCTTTGGTCGTTGGAGCAAGAAGGAAGGTTTTAAAGCTCATTTGAGGTGAGGACCGACATCTAGTTGCTTACAACTTGTAGGTTATGCATGAGATTACCTAAATGCTTGAATCATGTTTTTGTGAATAAATATGCTTGAACATGATATGAATGATAAGTAATGGACTTGACCATGAATTGAAACCATATTGATGAATATGGAGTCATGTGAGATAAAAGTATGCTAATATGGTAAATTGACCTTCCAACTCATGTATGAATGTTATGTGTATGTAAATGTATAATTGCATGATGATGCTTAGCACATGGGAGGCTGCCACATATCTATTGATATGGAGGGGCTACCATTTATGATAAATGAGTTGTAGGAATAATCTTAATAGTATTGTGATGCTAGTTAAGGATTGTTCAAAATGTTGATAGAATCAAATTTAAGGTTTGAGTTGTTTGTGATGAACTTGAATAAGATTCAAGTGTCAAGTGTGATTGTATGAAGTAGGAGATCTATGGTGTGATTATATGAAGTAGGAGATCTATGGTGTGATTATATGAAGTAGGAGATCTATGGTGTGATTATATGAAGTAGGAGATCTATGGTGGGATTGTATGAAGTAGGAGATCTATGGGGTGAATACATGAAGTAGGAGATCTATGGTATGATTATATGAAGTAGGAGATCTATGATGCGAGTGCATGATGATGTACTCGAGCCTAACTCTAGAAATGAGAAGTTATATTAGGGTTGGACCCTATGTATTGTCGTGACTATTAGTCACGGGGTTTGGGAAATGTTTTATAACAAACACGGGCCTTTGAGCCAACTACTTGATTTTATATAAAGTAAGTATGTATTTTGAAAGGGGTAATCTAGGATTACGGCCTATACTATATTATCACCCTATTTGAGGGTCTTGTGTGTGAAATACTTGTTGTATATCTATTAGATGCCTGCCACACCAGCACTTTATAGCCCTATAGAGTGCTGACCCCTTCGGGGGCGTCCCACCACCATTTTTCAGGTTGAGGCTAGAGCTTGCTTCCTGTGCTCGTTGCTCGAGAGATCATATAGGAGGGAAGACTTGGTTCGTGCTTCCTCCATTCTGTTTTTAAACCTTTCTAAACATGCTCATGGATATTTTACTATGGAGCCTGCGTGCTCATGAAATGCCTTGTGTGGCCCTTTTGTTTTAAACAATGTTTCCGCTGCGTTATGAATTACTTATTATGTTTGTTTATGGATGTACATGTGTGAATGATATTCAAGACGCCTTGTATAATATGAATGTGTTGGACTGCGGTTGACTATTCGTATTGTACGGCGGATTGTTGACGTGCCCGTATAGGTCCGGGGCGTGACAATTAAGTTGGTATCAGAGCCTTAGTCCATAAACTTCATAATGAAGTCTCAAAATTCTCTTTTCAAAATGATTTTTGAAAACCATGAGCGAAAATGTTTTGTACTTAAGAACTTTTGGTGTTTGAGTTGCAAGGTCTCTAATTGTTAAGATGGCGCCCTTAACGATTGGTATGGCAGTGACTTGGCCCAAGAGAAGTCTTAAGTGCCTATCTGTCACTTGACATTTGAAACGAGTCTAATGACTCATTCTAATTATTTCTTTCAGTGATGGAGGGTGATGGTGGTATTATGAATAGGGAGAACTCGGAAGGGTTTGCACCGGGTGGAACCGGGCATGCCAACCGAGAAAAGCCCTTAGGACCAAAGGTGCACGAAATTCTTGAAGCTCAAATCATGAGTGGTGGTCATGTTAAGACCAAGGAAGAATCACCTTGTTATAGCAAAACTGAACCACTCAAGGCTTCGGGTGACAAAGGAGATGATTTGAGTGATGAGGACCTTGATGGTGCACCCATTGAACAAATGGGCATGGTCATAGATTGGCTTCAACGTGAACGTGTGAGGCTTATACGAAAACGCCAAGCTAGGCAAGCTAAGGGCATACCATTAGTAAGGAAAAGGAAGTGGGGAGACAACGATTCACAAAGACATTCAAGGAGGACAAACGTTGAGGGTGACAAAACCTTCATGGCGCAGACACTATCACTTGAGTGGAGTCGAGGCTCGGGTGGCCAGAACTCGAGGTCAAAAGGTTCGAGAGTACCTAAGTGCACAAATTGTAAGAAGCACCACCCGGGTAAGTGTTGGGAACCTCCTAGGTGCTACCGATGCAGAGAGATCAGGCACACGAATGCGAATTGCCCACAACTTGTACCCGACCAAACTTTGGGCTCAAGTAGTACGACTATAGGCATACAGAGTCAAGCTGGGGCCTCTCAAGCAAGCAAGGAACATGGCGGAGCAAGTGTGAGCAACGCGCCGTCCGTGAATCAAGGGAGGACTCACGCTAGAGTCTATACGATGACGGAGGCGGAGGCTCGAGCGAACCCGGATTCCGTTGCAGGTATAACCTCTTGTATACTTGTGTTTTACCCTTGATTAGTCCATAAATTGAGGTTGCTAATCGTTGGGATCATTGTACGAAGTTTTGGGGTCAAACGGAGCGAAATCGGGCGAAAGACGGCTGATTTCCGCCAACGCACACCAGGCGGGACCATACGCACGGCCGTGCGTTGTCCGTGCGTTGGTCCGTGCGTTGGTGGCAGTAGCCACCGGGAATAAATTGCTATACGCACGGCCGTGCGTTGTCCGTGCGTTGGTCCGTGCGTTGGTGGCAGTAGCAACCGGGAAGAAATTGCTATACGCACGGACGTGCGTTGTCCGTGCGTTGGTGGCAGTAGCTCCGTTTTGAGGTTATAAGACACGCACGCCGTGCGTACCTCCTAGGCACGCCGTGCGTACCTCCTGGGCAGCCCAAAGTCGACTTTTTCGCGCCGTATTTCAACGTTAAGACCCGTTCTTGATCCCAAACACGTGTGTGAACATAATAAACCTCTCTAAATGTATAAGAATGGTAGGAAAGGTATCTCACATGACTTATAAATGTAGGAACACTAAAGATTAATGGGAAGGATGCGCGAATCCTTATCGATACCGGGGCGCAACGTTCATTTGTGAATGAAGCGTTCGCCAAGAGGTTGGGAGTGCAATCCGCACCATTGATGCAAACCTTAGTGGTATCAACACCACTAGGGGATGACGTGGAAAGAACTTGTTACTATCCATCTTGTGGGGTGGAGGTTAATGGTCAAACCTTGACGTGTGACTTCGTACCGCTGAGCATGATTGAATTCAATGCAATCCTAGGGATGGATTGGCTAGAAAGGAACCATGCTAGGGTAGATTGCTACACGAAGGTTCTTGAACTCGAAGGCAATGATGGGGAGACCCTACGCTTCGAGGGCGATCGAGGGAGATCAAATAGCTGTATCATATCCGCCGTGAGAGCGAGAAGTATGATGAGAAAGGGATGCCACGCATATCTAGCATACGTGGTTGACAAAACCAAAGAAGAAACGAACATCGATGATGTGAGGGTGGTTTGTAAGTATCCGGATGTCTTCCCTAAAGACCTACCGGGGCTTCCACCTGATAGGGAGATTGAATTTGTGATCGAGGTCGAGCCTGGTACCAAACCAATCTCCATACCGCCATACCGTATGGCACCCGCTGAACTTAACGAGTTGAAAACCCAATTGCAAGAGCTTTTGGATAATGGTTTCATTAGACCAAGCCACTCCCCGTGGGGAGCACCAGTTCTTTTTGTGAAAAAGAAAGATGGGACACTTCGAATGTGTATTGACTATCGTCAACTGAACAAGGTCACAATCAAGAATAGGTATCCCTTGCCTAGGATTGATGACTTGTTTGATCAACTACGAGTGGCGACTGTGTTTTCAAAGATTGACTTGAGGTCGGGTTACCATCAACCGAAGATTAAGGAAGATGACATACCAAAAAGTGCTTTTCGCACAAGGTATGAGCACTTTGAATTCCTTGTTATGTCGTTTGGGTTAACAAACGCCCCAGCGGCATTCATGGACTTGGTGAACCGAGTATTTCATAAATACTTGGACCGATTTGTGATTGTGTTCATATATGACATCTTAATTTACTCAAGGAGTGAAGAAGAACATGAGCGGCACTTGGTCCTGGATCTTGAAACATTACGAGAGAAGCAATTTTGCGCCAAGTTCTCTAAGTGCGAGTTTTGGCTTAAAGAGATTGGCTTTCTTGGGCATGTAGTTTCTATGAATATACAACTTTGGCATGAATTTTCTATGAATTTTGCATGAATTTCCTATGAATATACAACTAACACCTGCGCATGCTAACTCTAACAAATCTCATGTAACAACTACTGCCCGAATGCCCAATTCACTCCCCCACACTTAAACTTTGGCATCGTCCTCGATGACCAAAAATGCATTATGTACTAGGGGTAAAGAGGAAAGGGTCACGCATGCTCAACATTAACTTAAGTCATTATCACAAGAATAAGAACCAAAGCAACTTCCCTATGGCGATGGTTGGTGTAGAACTCAACTGTGTCAAATGAACTCGGCAATTTCATCCACGGGACTAGTAAGCTGCAATCATCAAAACACAAACAAAATCCAAGCAATACGGAGAAAGAGTAAAGAGTAATGTGAGTGAGTGAGTGAGTGTGAAAGTATAAGATACAGTCATCCAACAAAATCAGAGAACAGAGGTGTAACACCCCCAAATTTCCCACCCAAAAATAATACTTTATTCAAAAGAAATATCAACTTTATTTGAAAACATTAGAGTTATGCAGCGGAAAACCAAAAGGGAAATTGGGTGTTACCGCCACACTCGGCTCTAACCTAACCGAGTGCACAGGCTAATCACCACAGACAATTAAACTCAATAAGTGTCTTGAAAATTTAATTAAACTACCATGTTATCTACTAATTACATTTTCTCTAGCGGAAGCTCTCTCGAAATCAACATCATCAGCAAAGCATTACCTGTACAAAATCATGTACAGAAAGAAAAATAAAAGAAAACAAAAATTAGCAACAATGCTAAGTAAGTTCCACCTAACCCCATAAAAAAAATATAAATTTAATAATTTTGAAAAAAAAACATTTGGCAGGAAAAATCTTTTTAAAACAATTTGTAAAATCTTCTCCTAACACAATTTACGAGTAAAATAATAGTACTTCAAATATAAATAATTATTTCCAAACCACAATAATTACAACATACCAAATGTACATAAAGTACCAAAACCATTCTCAAAATAATTCCAAACACTCATAATCAATATTAGCATAATCAAACCAAAATAAATCCAAAAGTATTTGTACTTGAAATTCCACAATAATTTGATAATTCAATCCAACAACTCAAATCCATTCTATTCAAATATAATTCTCCTCAAAATCTCAAAATATCAATCCAAATATAATTTGTACTCCTAATACATTTGAAGGGCGGTGCTCAACATTTTATTGAGCCCGATGGTCCGTTGTTATGTACGGTCACCCCGGGACTTTTGCCGGTACCACTTCTAACCTGAGGAAACTGAACCTCTACCTTAAGTGTGCACACCCTCTAAAAGGGATTCCAAGCCCTCCGAGTAGTAAGAAGTCCAAGTAGTTCGGACGTCAACGTCCCCCTACTCCACCAAAAAGGGATTACCCTATATAAGTGACTAGGTTACTGCTACTACTGAATAATAGGGTCTTTTGCCCGAATTTTAAATACAATAAACAACCACCAATCTCCACAGTCAAGGTCGTGGACACCAAATCCCAACAAGTAATAGCAGTCCTAATCACTCTCCACAGTCAAGGTCGTGGAGGACACCGACATCCCGGATTTCTCCCGTGATGCCCTTACATTGAAAGGTTCATTTTATCTTTATTATTTTCCAAAAATTCAGGGATTACTACTCACGTAATTTCCCCAAAGTTATTCAACATTCAACAATGCATCACATATTATACATAGACATAAATTTCCAAAATAAGGGTTAATCGATCCTTTAAACTCGAAAATTCCCAACATGATTAAAATATAGAATACTCCATAAATAGCTCAAATCTCAATCCCAATAATGATTAATACATAACTTCAAATACTCAAAATATCACACAATATTCAATACTCAAATCTCAAATATAATCCTCAATAACAATCCATAAATAATTCTAAATACTCAAATACGAAGTATAAATGTAAATGCTAGAAATCTCACAAAGTACTCAAATAATTTCAAATAAATAATCATATATATATTTACGAGGAAAAGTATAATTTTGGTTGATGTAGAACTTACCTCAATCGCGATAATTCCCAACCAAAGCTTCTATATCTCGATCTTTTCCAAATTCACCTTTAAAATTATAGAATTACTAATTATCCAAACTGTAGTTCAATTCATCTTCATCTACCCTTATGAATTCTCACGGTTATATTTCTCAAATGATTAATCTATCTATATAATAGTCCATTCCTAATAAAGCATTTTCATTTATCATCATCCATTATTATGAAAGCATGCGGCCCAATTTATAGGCAGTAGAAGTTAATAGTACCACGTACTCGTCGGTTCCAGTCCGGCGAACGCAGGTACGCAGATGCTCTCCGGCGCCGATCAACCGGCGTGGTACAAACAGCACTCCAGGGGCTCCTATCTCCGGCGAGCATCCATCTGGCGCGAATACTTAGCCCGGAACAGTAGCTCTGCTATTCCAACGATGTCTCTTCTGTCCGGAAAAGGCGTTGAAGCTGCTTCCTCCTTCGTTGTCGACATCATCCGCGGTTTACCAGTCCAGCGTCGGTGTTGTATTCTTCTCTGGCGGTTTAAGTCAGTCTGGTTGAAAATGGTCTGAACTCTGAACCCGGCACAGCACAGCAGCAGATTCCATCTCCGGTGATCGATCTTCACTCCGGCGAAGATATTCGTTATCCGGCCCAGTGCGTAGTATGTATTCTGTATGTTTACGCTGGGCAAGGCTCTGCCGCAGGTGTATGCAGATGTGCAGGGCGAAGGTCGTGTATATATATATGCCGCAGTCGATGCTTCTAGACTAGGGTTTCGTATGTTAACAAATTCTTTACGTTTACTTTCATATGTGCGAACTACGAAGTAATAGGAAACGTCTGAGTGGCCCAAGAATTTTTTTTATACGAACTCCTCCGCATTATTCTCATAATATCATTGCTAGCATATACTATCGTATTGGATTTGTTTTATATAGGTGTGTGATACAAAATTTTATTTGACCAATAAAACCATGAAATTATTTATATATTTTCATTATATAAAAAAAATTGGAGTGTCACATTCTACCCCCCTTAAAACATGATTCGTCCTCGAAGCATTTAACTTACTCAAAGATAGTTTTCCCTCGGCTTGCTCTCTTCTGTGGCGCCCTTCTTCAGTCTTTCCTTCTGGAGTTGTCGTACCCGATCGCGATTGAAAGCTTTGGTGTAGGCCTCGTTCGGAGTTTGGCATCCCAAAACGCAAATAGCCTTGTTAGTCTCGAAATCCGGACCGCTTATGTACTTCCTAGCCCTATTGATTTCATCAGGAACTAACACAGGTGCAAATCGTGCGAGCTCCAAGAATTTGGCGTAGTATTCTTTGGCATTCATATCCACTTGCTTTAGGTGTAAGAGTTTCTCGTACTTCGTAGCTTTCATGTTGTCTAAATAGAATCATTCTCGCTTGGCCTCTATAAACGTCTCCCAAAGAAAGTGAGGTTGTTGACACAACGTTTGTTCAGTTGTAGCCCACAAGCTTAGTTGTCTGCCTCGTGACGTAGGTAGTATGCAGACGTATTAACGCATTAATCCGCAGGATGACGATTTATAGCCTAGAAAAAGTTTGACAAAAGTGAGAATCCAATCCTCGAGGATAAGAGGATCTTCTTGGCATAAACATAGAGGAAATTATGCTTTGCTATAAGTTCGTTAATTCAGCGGTTGAGATGATGTTAGTGTTGAGCTTGAAGTAGCACATTCCCGATCATCTAGGAAGTTGAGATTGTCCCAGACCCACTAATCCGAATTCTTCAGTGCCGCGTCATTGTTACGTCTTCCATGTTGTCTCTTGTAGGCGTGATTGTCTCCTTGAAAGGATAACGCTTAGTCTACAAATAAGTAATCTACCGAGTTGTATTCGCAATTCAACTACCCTAGCTAATAGCCTACTAATCAAGTGATCTCAAAAGTTCTTCTATAAGTCCAACCTTATCCTCAAATAAGCATATACGGATAGGTCACACTTAAACATATCTTTAAAAAAAATCAAAAGAATCACAAACTCAACCAAAACCAAAATCAAAATCTCACATGCTCACCGCGCGCCTAAAATTTTCATTTTTATCCTAGAAGTTCTTACTTATTCCCTAGTCATTTTTTCTAACCTTTTAGAAAACATTTTGAAAATCTCCTTTGAAAATAAAACCTTAGTGTCTGATACCAACTTGTTGGTATCACTTAATAAAATTTATTAAACATGAGAAAACTTTTAAAAATTTGTTTAAAAGACTTTAGGAAAAAAAATGTTTTGGAAAATGCCCCAGAAAAACCATGGGCTCTGATACCAACTTGTAACACCCCCAAATTTCCCACCCAAAAATAATACTTTATTCAAAAGAAATATCAACTTTATTTGAAAACATTAGAGTTATGCAGCGGAAAACCAAAAGGGAAATTGGGTGTTACCGCCACACTCGGCTCTAACCTAACCGAGTGCACAGGCTAATCACCACAGACAATTAAACTCAATAAGTGTCTTGAAAATTTAATTAAACTACCATGTTATCTACTAATTACATTTTCTCTAGCGGAAGCTCTCTCGAAATCAACATCATCAGCAAAGCATTACCTGTACAAAATCATGTACAGAAAGAAAAATAAAAGAAAACAAAAATTAGCAACAATGCTAAGTAAGTTCCACCTAACCCCATAAAAAAAATATAAATTTAATAATTTTGAAAAAAAAACATTTGGCAGGAAAAATCTTTTTAAAACAATTTGTAAAATCTTCTCCTAACACAATTTACGAGTAAAATAATAGTACTTCAAATATAAATAATTATTTCCAAACCACAATAATTACAACATACCAAATGTACATAAAGTACCAAAACCATTCTCAAAATAATTCCAAACACTCATAATCAATATTAGCATAATCAAACCAAAATAAATCCAAAAGTATTTGTACTTGAAATTCCACAATAATTTGATAATTCAATCCAACAACTCAAATCCATTCTATTCAAATATAATTCTCCTCAAAATCTCAAAATATCAATCCAAATATAATTTGTACTCCTAATACATTTGAAGGGCGGTGCTCAACATTTTATTGAGCCCGATGGTCCGTTGTTATGTACGGTCACCCCGGGACTTTTGCCGGTACCACTTCTAACCTGAGGAAACTGAACCTCTACCTTAAGTGTGCACACCCTCTAAAAGGGATTCCAAGCCCTCCGAGTAGTAAGAAGTCCAAGTAGTTCGGACGTCAACGTCCCCCTACTCCACCAAAAAGGGATTACCCTATATAAGTGACTAGGTTACTGCTACTACTGAATAATAGGGTCTTTTGCCCGAATTTTAAATACAATAAACAACCACCAATCTCCACAGTCAAGGTCGTGGACACCAAATCCCAACAAGTAATAGCAGTCCTAATCACTCTCCACAGTCAAGGTCGTGGAGGACACCGACATCCCGGATTTCTCCCGTGATGCCCTTACATTGAAAGGTTCATTTTATCTTTATTATTTTCCAAAAATTCAGGGATTACTACTCACGTAATTTCCCCAAAGTTATTCAACATTCAACAATGCATCACATATTATACATAGACATAAATTTCCAAAATAAGGGTTAATCGATCCTTTAAACTCGAAAATTCCCAACATGATTAAAATATAGAATACTCCATAAATAGCTCAAATCTCAATCCCAATAATGATTAATACATAACTTCAAATACTCAAAATATCACACAATATTCAATACTCAAATCTCAAATATAATCCTCAATAACAATCCATAAATAATTCTAAATACTCAAATACGAAGTATAAATGTAAATGCTAGAAATCTCACAAAGTACTCAAATAATTTCAAATAAATAATCATATATATATTTACGAGGAAAAGTATAATTTTGGTTGATGTAGAACTTACCTCAATCGCGATAATTCCCAACCAAAGCTTCTATATCTCGATCTTTTCCAAATTCACCTTTAAAATTATAGAATTACTAATTATCCAAACTGTAGTTCAATTCATCTTCATCTACCCTTATGAATTCTCACGGTTATATTTCTCAAATGATTAATCTATCTATATAATAGTCCATTCCTAATAAAGCATTTTCATTTATCATCATCCATTATTATGAAAGCATGCGGCCCAATTTATAGGCAGTAGAAGTTAATAGTACCACGTACTCGTCGGTTCCAGTCCGGCGAACGCAGGTACGCAGATGCTCTCCGGCGCCGATCAACCGGCGTGGTACAAACAGCACTCCAGGGGCTCCTATCTCCGGCGAGCATCCATCTGGCGCGAATACTTAGCCCGGAACAGTAGCTCTGCTATTCCAACGATGTCTCTTCTGTCCGGAAAAGGCGTTGAAGCTGCTTCCTCCTTCGTTGTCGACATCATCCGCGGTTTACCAGTCCAGCGTCGGTGTTGTATTCTTCTCTGGCGGTTTAAGTCAGTCTGGTTGAAAATGGTCTGAACTCTGAACCCGGCACAGCACAGCAGCAGATTCCATCTCCGGTGATCGATCTTCACTCCGGCGAAGATATTCGTTATCCGGCCCAGTGCGTAGTATGTATTCTGTATGTTTACGCTGGGCAAGGCTCTGCCGCAGGTGTATGCAGATGTGCAGGGCGAAGGTCGTGTATATATATATGCCGCAGTCGATGCTTCTAGACTAGGGTTTCGTATGTTAACAAATTCTTTACGTTTACTTTCATATGTGCGAACTACGAAGTAATAGGAAACGTCTGAGTGGCCCAAGAATTTTTTTTATACGAACTCCTCCGCATTATTCTCATAATATCATTGCTAGCATATACTATCGTATTGGATTTGTTTTATATAGGTGTGTGATACAAAATTTTATTTGACCAATAAAACTATGAAATTATTTATATATTTTCATTATATAAAAAAAATTGGAGTGTCACAAGAGGCTAATGGCGAACAATCTACTAAATCAACTACTGCTCCGGAGGTGGCGGTGGCTGCTGTGCATCAAAGAACGAACTCCAGCTGGACTCTAAGGATGTGACACGAGTGTCCAACTCCGCGTACTGTACTCGCAGGTTGGAAAACCCGGTCGTAATGTCCTCGTGAATGGTCCGCTGGAGCTCTCTGTGGTAAGTCTGCCTCTCCGCCCGGACCTCCTGAAAGAATGCCTGCTGGTCCGCCCTCATCTGGCGATAAAGCTCCTGTTGTCTCTGTCGCTCTGCCTGAACATCGGCAAAGAAGCGCTGCTGACTCTCAAAAAGTGACCTGTGATGGCGCTGCTGACTCTCCCTCCACTCGACATGATAATCCCTCTGCTCCTCATGCCAACTCGAAAAAGCATCCTGAAAAGCAGGTGGCATGACAGGAATAGAATGAGCAGCATCATGGTCCATAGCTGCTCCTCCCCCCTCGGTGTGGTGCTCCTCATCATCATCATCAACGTGGCCAGCTGCGCCGCCCTCCTGAATATGGATTCCCGCCTGATGCGGTACTCTCTGCTCTCCCTCAACTGGCTGCTCTGCTAGGCGCCTCCTTCTGGCCACTCCGGTGTTCAGCTCTGGAAGCTTAGTCAACGGCGCATAGTAAGAACTCTCATCCATGTTTACAAAGTGGTCGCCGTAACCCATCCCACGCAGAAGGCGGGTGATGTAGGGTCCAGAAAAGATGGCTTTGATCTTGTAGGTAGACTGACGGTGGAAGAGGCCGGCAATGATAGCACCCATGTGTGGTAGCTTGTTGTGGATCATGCAATAAAGGCACAAAAGATCTGTAGTGGAGACCTTGCCTGCTACCTCGGCCCTCCCAGTGATGGTGGATGAAAGGAGGGAATGGATAACTCTGTACGCCCGTGGATACAACAAGGTGTTAGGGGTGTCTCGGGGGTCGTATGTGCCACCATCTCTAGAAATGCTCTCCCAAAATCTCTGGCGGTCGGCATCTCGTGGAAAGTCAGTCAAGCCTACTTCATTATCTGCTCTATCCTCGATTCGGGTAAAACCTAAATGCCACTGGATGTTGTAAATGGATATGGCATGGTCCTCATTGAAGGCCCGGAACTTGATTAGGGGTCGGTGGTTATCGGAGAAACTGATAGATCGAGGCACCTTAATTGTGGCCAACACTTCGCAAGTTACTTCTTTGTATGTAGTCTCTCGGATGCCAAAGAAAAGGTGTTGGCACCATCCCCGACGGAGTAGCGTCATCACCTCATCATGAAGCCCAGCGGCTGTCAAGGTGGGCTCATCAGGATAATGAAACGTGCCCACCTCCTTTTTCAGCAAATCGAGGTATGTGATCATTTGTTCGTCCTTCGGGAATTGAGGCTGATAGCGAGCACCTGTGGCCCGACTAGAACTGGCTCCAACATTCTTAGTTCGCTTCTTTGGTGGCATCTGTCAAGACAATTCAACAACAACAACAATTCCAACGGGGCTTCCATGTATTAGAATAAAACTCCAAATCAAAAGTAATGACCCCGTCAGTAATTAGTCATTCAAGAGCATCAACATAACTAGCAACAAATCCAAGTTTAACCAGAATAGTTGAAACTTTTGAACTTTTATCAAAGAACAGTTCTTTGAATTAAAGTCAATTGTTTCAACGACACACGGTGTAAACAAGGTCACAAGCAAGAATTCTTATCAAAACAAGTGTTAAGAATGGAGTTCCTCCCAAAAGAATTAAAGAGATATTTAGAATAGGGGAAGAACTCTCAATTTTCAAATTGGACAAAGTTTGGCCTAAAATTGGGGATTTTCAAATTGACTCAACAACAAGTATTCAACATCACAATCAACAATTCATTCCTTAATTTAAGCAAGAAGCACAAAATCCCCAAATTTATCTCACATTCAACATTTCTCAACCCTAAATTGGCTAAATTTGCCCAAAAATTAGGGATTTCAATCAAAAGAGGCAATTTCATCAATCACAGAATATCAAAATAATCATCACAAGCTTCAATTTAATCATGTTGATGCAAATCCCTAATTTTTGAGCATAAGAATTTAGATTTCTAGAAAAGCTTGGAGAAATCTCCATTAATGGAGAAAAGAGAAGAGAAGAGAAGGAGGAGATACCTTGGAGAAGAGAGAAAAAGGGGAGCGGTCGGTGGCTGGCGGTCGCGGCGGTCGCGGCGTAGGGTCGGCGGTCGTGGCGGCGGGGCGGTGGTCGTGGCTTCGTTGTTAGATCGCAGGGGAGGCTCTCGGTTCGTCGGTCGCGCAAGGGAAGGGGAGAGTAGGGCTGGTTTGTTTTGATTAAAAGGGGGGTAAGGTTGGGAATTTGAGACGCACGACCGTGCGTAGGGGGCGACGCACGATCGTGCGTCGATGGCAGACGCACCCCTTTCGTTTTGATGGTTACGCACGATCGTGCGTAGGGGGGGACGCACGATCGTGCGTCGATGGCAGTAGCCTCCCCCGTTTTTTCAGCTTTGACGCACGGCGTGCGTGCCTGGACGCACGACCGTGCGTCTGCACGAACAGTAAAATTATTATTATTATTATTATTATTTTTTGTGGTTTTTGTGGTTTTTTTGAAAAGCAACAAAACTAATCCTATCAAAGCAAAAATTAAGCCCGGGTTGCCTCCCGAGAAGCGCTATTTTTTAACGTCGTTTGCCCGACGCAACTACGCACTCATCTCTCCAAATTCGTGACAAAGGTCACCTCACGCTCGCGTTCTAGCGGTCCTCCGTAGTATTTCTTCAAATGATGGCCGTTAACTTTAAAACGGCCTTTCTCAGGATGATCAATCTCAACAGTGCCATACGGAAAAACTTCGCTCACTACAAAAGGACCAGACCATCTAGACTTCAATTTTCCTTCAAAAATTTTCATTCGGGGATTGAATAGCAGAACTTGATCCCCTTTACAAAACTCTTTTCCCTATTTAATGTGCCGATCATGGTAGGCTTTGGTACGCTCCTTACTGATCTTAGAGTTCTCATAGGCCATGAGCCTCCACTCATCCAACTCGTTGAGCTTCCAAAGCCGTCCACGACCCGCCAAAGACAAATCCTTATTCAACGTTTTCAAGGCCCAGTATGCCTTATGCTCTATCTCTACCGGAAGGTGGCACGCCTTCCCATAAACCAAGTGAAACGGAGTAGTGCCAATGGGTGTCTTATACGTTGTACGCAGTGCCCACAGCGCATCATCTAGCTTATCAGACCAATCCTTCCTATGGGTCTCAACGGTCTTCTCAAGGATGGTCTTAATGTCCCTATTCGAGTTCTCAACTTGGCCACTGGTTTGAGGATGATAAGGGACGCCCCCTTTATGAGTGACTCCGTACTTTGCCAGAAGGCGAGTCATCGGATCATTCCTAAAGTGGGTACCCCTGTCACTTATCAAAACTCGTGGCACTCCAAACCTAGAAAACAATTTCTTCAGAAAACGAATTACAACTCTAGCATCATTTGTGGGCAGAGCTTCAGCCTCGACCGACTTGGAGACATAATCCACAGCAACCAGAATGAATTTATTACCTTTAGAACCCGGGAACGGTCCCATGAAGTCAATGCCCCAAACATCAAATACCTCACAAGCCAATATAAAATTCTGGGGCATCTCATCCCTCTTGGTAACCGGCCCGGTGCGTTGACACCTGTCACATTCCTGCACAAACGTTAGAGCATCTTTAAACAACGTGGGCCAGAAGAAACCACATTCCAACACCTTACGAGCTGTCCGGTTAAAAGAATAGTGTCCCCCAGTCGGTCCGGAGTGACAATGTTTGAGAATCTCAACTCCTTCGCTAAGAGGAACACATCTTCTAACAACCTGATCAGCACAAATACGAAACAAATATGGTTCCTCCCAGAAATAATATTTCAAATCAGCAAAAAATTTCCTTCGTTGATGAGGTGTATAATCAGAAGGAACAACACCCCCAACAAGATAGTTGGCGATGTCAGAAAACCAAGGCACCTCATCAACGATCCTCAACAGTCTCTCATCAGGAAAAGTACCCTCAATATCTCTCTCACTCAAGGAATCAAGAAAGGGGTTTTCTAACCTACTCAAGTGATCAGCCGCTTAATTCTCAGCCCCTTTCTTATCCCTAATCTCAATATCAAACTCCTGGAGTAGTAATATCCACCGAATCAATCTAGGCTTAGCATCCACTTTTTGCATCAAATATTTAAGAGCAGAATGATCGGTAAATATCACTACCTTAGACAAAATCAAATAAGGACGAAACTTGTCAAGAGCAAACACAATAGCAAGCAATTCTTTCTCGGTGGTAGTGTAGTTTTCTTGGGCACTATCGAGAGTCTTAGAAGCATAAGAAATAGGCTGAAAATGTTTCTCTCGACGCTGCCCAAGAACGGCTCCTACTGCAAAATCACTAGCATCACACATAATCTCAAAAGGCAAAGACCAGTCAGGAGCTACTACCACCGGTGCCTTGACCAGTTTCTCCTTCAAACACTCAAAAGCCTCTAAACACTCCTTTGAGAAGTCAAACGGTGTGTCCTTCTCAAGGAGCTTAGTCATGGGTCGGGCTATCTTAGAAAAGTCCTTGATGAACCTACGGTAGAAACCTGCGTGGCCTAGAAAACTCCTAATGGCACGGACCGAAGTAGGGGGAGGTAATTTAGAAATCAC